AACAGACCAACCCAGGTAGGCAGATAAGGAAAAAATGGGGACATTCACAGGGAACTATGATCAGAAACAGATCATTTGAACAAGTCAGCAGATTAGCAAGATGAAGTATGTTAGATTATCTGACACGACATCCCTAGTTTCTAGGAACAGTAAGTGAGATTCTGTAAGGAGAACGGGTTTTCTGAGGCTGATAAAGTTGTAGATCTTGATCGCAATTCAAGCGACTGTCCACTCCATCTAATGATTCTCTTTATTGCATGAATCCTTAGTAACAACCCACTACAGCATCTAAGCTCCAATGTAGGCTCCAAGCAGCTGGCTCACACAAATTCTGTTTGGAATTTGGGTGTCTTTTCTAAATAAAGCAAAATTAGTGATACATGCTAGTAGTTTTCCTAGCTTTGTCTTAAAAATTGTTTGTTCCGGCTAGATTTGATAACTCTGGGACTGACTGGCTGCCTTTAATGGGGGTTAATGAAAGCGTAATGAAGACAAATGATCAACCATAGCTCTACCGGGCTTCTGGAAGCTCAAGGTAATGTCCTGTCCTGTGGACACTGCTTCTTTGCAGGTAGCCTTGCATAACCAGCTTCCTGGGAACCAAGTAGTTACCATCTGATTACTTTGGTCACATTTTGCAAGAGGAACAGCCTCAGCTATGGTCCAGTGAGATCATAATCAGTTATGGAAACTAGTTTATTGTAGCAAGCACACTGCTCAAAGGAAAAGCTACTTGATTCTAATTGCTTCAACTAATAAACCAGCGATTCAAATGAGCAGTCTAGTTTAAATGATTTGCTGAGTATAATCAAATTGATTTCAAAGAATCAAAGGAAAGTCAGAGGATTGTGTCTCTGTGCAACTTTTGAATCAGGCCAAGCTATGTATGTGTGGATGTTTGCACCTAACAGAGCAAAAATATTTTATGTGAAGGTGTTTTTTTGTTCAGATCGATTAAAATTTTTACACCAACATGACCTCCTGCTGCTACTCTAGAGTAGTACTCTCTTACTAGATAGTTTTTGTATACCTCACTTACAAATTCCTTCAAAGATCATTAGTCGTTCAGTTTTCCAATTCATAGTCACTTCTAATTTTGCTGCAGATTTTTTGTCATTTGGATTGTCCTCTCTTATTAAACATATCCCTGTATTTTTGGCTACTTGCTCAAGTCAAATTTATCTTTAAATTCAAGAATTTCCATCATTGATGAACATATGCAGTAAGCCCAAATTCTGTAGCTATTTCCTCAATAGTAATCCTGAAAAATCTCTTGTAAAACGGCAGTGTCACTGGCATTAGGATATAAATTTCAACAGCTATTTTTAAACTTGTTGGGGTCATTAGTCCCTATGAGAATATGATGGATATTATCTCCTCCCCAAAAAAGTGAACTTATGAATATATGCATTTATTTTGCATATCATTTCAAAACAGTTCAGAGATTTTTAAAAGTATAGTCAGAGGTTCTTTGAGGTTAAGAACTTTTATTCTAAAGAGATATCTTCAAAAGAAATAGATTTTATTTTGATTTATAATTAAGATATGTTTGTTAAAAATTGAATAGTTTCATTCATCATAACAACTGAAATATATACATGAACTATTCTGTATAGATATGTATAATTGACTACATTTTAAAAAGACCTCCTTTTTAGAATTTCTGTTTTATGTGTTTTATTTTATTTTAAATATTCTTTTAAACCATTTCCAACTTTCTAAATGAGATTTTTTAATTTATGAAAGTATTTCTTTTTTATTCTTGTTAATCATAAAAAACAATCTCTCTTAGGCCTTTGGCTTGAATATTTGATTTTATATTTGCATTTGAAAAGTATTCTCTAATAGGACATTAACCTTAAAGATTTTGAAAGTCAGAATCTACATATAAATTTAATTCCAGCTCTCTGCTATTAAAATAACATTGACTGAATCTCAGAATTAGGTGATAACTCTTTTACATTTCTTGAACATTACCAAATGATAATTTTTAGAATGAAATGAAATTTGAATCCAAGGGATGGCAAAAACTTAGTATTTCAACTAAATTTGTTGTGGAAGTTTATAGAACTTACATAAAAACAGTAAGTTCTTTTAGTGACTATTTATAATCCATATATGTTCTCGTACTTATATACATATACACACACAGCACACGCAGAAAATCAGTCCTTTCAAACTCATAACCAAAAATAATGTAATAGAATCTGCGACTTAAAATATTCAGGATCAAATTCCAGTCCTGTTAAAGTTCCTGAGACTGGATATATGTGGATGCTGTCGTGAATTTACACTTTTTGTCCTGTTTTATTTCTGTATTCATAAGTGGTACCATTTCTAGAGAAGAAGGTCACCTATAAGACAAAATGTACTTGTAGGTTTGGTGATATGTCATATGGTTATGAAAATAATTTTCATCACGTAAAGGCACATACTATCTATGTACACATAATGTATTCAAACATATTTCAATGTTTATGCCTATGTGTCCCTATATTTTAGACCTAAAATCAGAACACATTCACTGAATTGGTAATATGTCATAGGTCACTTGGCAGCATTATTTCCTTGTCCTACAAAAAATGGTGCAAATAACAATTAATGATGGTGTCTCAGATTCACTGAAATACATTACACAGATTAGAGCACATAAAACAGAAGGTGCCTTAAGAATGTTAAAGCAACACCACAGAGAAATTGAAATTAAAGGGTCCGCTCATTTACTAAAACACAGATTTTGGTATCAAAGCAAATACAAATTACTGATTAAATTTTCAAATATTTTCACTCATCTTACATGGTCCACTAGGCCATAACCCTGTAAAATCCGTGGAAATCACAGATTAAAAGACTTGCTTCTGTTCTATTTGCTGCATGAAACTATTTTTATATAAAGGTAGGCTAAATGAAGACTGCTCAGGCTCTTTCGCCTTTGGCCTCTGTGGCTATCACCTGTGGCCTTGAACGCGGGAGGCTCTTGGGAGCGCGGGCTCAGGATGCGCATGCCTGATGGCGGGCACCTGGAGTATGGCGTGGTGTGCGTAAGTGGGGACACCCACACCTGTGGCAACAGACGGAGCATTTAAGGGTGCCGTCACAGAGGAGAGGTGCAGCAGAGTGCGGTAGAGAGTGGCTGAGAGGCTGCTCAGGAAAGGTTTGGGGGGAGCTGGGAGGCCTGCCAGCCGCCTGCACCCACACCATCCCCGCCTTCCCTGCACCCACTGCCTAACTACAAATGGTGTAGAAAAATCATCACAAGCATGAAAAAGCCACTGAGGCTCCCGGACTCTCTTGCCTGCTCTGCCCAGCTGCCTGCCTGCTCGCCAGTAAGTTAGAAAGCATAATGAAATATTGTTAAGTACAAATGAATAAATTTCAACTATATGTAAAACCTTGGATGCTAGAATATTAATGTTGAAATGAGTGTTTCATAAAATACATATTAAATGATGCTGTCTTCTACAAACAAAAGGAAAACACTTTCTAAATTAAAATTTGTTCATAGAGTATCTTTTCAATCTTTGCTCATTTTCACTATTAATCTGGGGAAATGATTTTTTAACCCACATGTGGTATCCAAAATTAAAAAGACATATTTTAAAGGAAGTTGGTTCAAAACAATTTGACATGAGTGTGATAACAGTTTAGAAATATCTATGCTCAGATTTATTTCCAAATTTGGACTCCTAAACTTATTGTCAGTCTCTGAAAGAAATAAGAAGCTGTGCAGATAATTAAACATTTGCCTTGGGGGAATTATTTGCAGTTAATTAAAACCATACACTTTTGGTGTATACTTGCTTCACTGGTTATTAAATTTGAATCATATGTTAACTACCCAGGTTTCTTACTTGTCCGTCAAATGTTGCTCATGGCAGGTTCCAGAAACAAATTTTCTTGTAATTTTCCAAGCCATATTGTTTAAAGCTGTCTTTCAGATTGGGGAGGGAGCATCAGGCTAGCGAAAGGAGGGAAAGGAAACAAAGATTTACTTTAAACCTATCTGATTCAGCTGTTAGGGAGTTAAAATTCAATTCGGCAGAGAGCCCACGTGTATGTAATAGAAGTGTTGTATACAATTCTCACCTTGCTGCATGGCTACCTATATACAAGTTTAGTCCTTGGCTTTAGGTATCTTTAGATTATCACCCTTTTAGTTGAATTAAAAGTATCCACTGAATTGTAAACTCTATGAGAGCAGAAATATAGTGTTTTTGTTTAGTATTGACTTCCCAGCACCAAAAATAATATCTGGCAGAGCGAGTCCTTAATATTTGTGAAATGAATAGGTGCTGTTTTCTTTTTGCTTACCCATGTACTTGATCTTTTCAACAATTTTTAGTGAGTTTTCAGAGACACCAAAAACATTAAATTTGATGCTTTGTCTAGCTTTACAAGATTTCAGTGTCATTGGAATTATTTTAGCCATGTTACTTCCTACAAAGCATATATCATATTTTAAAAAATGAATTTATGTTGATGCTTCCTTTAAATGTGTTATATGTAGGAGAGCGTGAAATTGCACAAACTGGGCTTACATCCCCCTGTGCTATTGCTTTACTGGTAGGGTTCCTGAGGAAGATGAACTTAATTACCTCTGGTTTGCAAAGTTCTACATCTGACTTTTTGAGGACTCAATCCCCCATATCTGAACAAGTAAAGTAATGGAAGCATTAACATTAAAATTACATATTCCTTTAACCTTCTCTATTTTGTCTTCCTTTCATATCCTTTTGCACAGTTCTTGTAAGACTTGCTATGAAACACAAAACCTGCTTACATTTTCTTTCTTTTTTTTTTTTTTTTTGCAAAAAGATGCCTCAACCATTCTATGCCAAGTCTCTGTAAACTTTGTGCAGGCACCTTCTGCATTAATTTGAGGTGTGTGTTTACTGATATACATGTTTGCTTATTTTAAGAACATAATAAATTCCTTTCCCCAAACATAGATCTGTCATGAAAGCTGTTTAAGGCTAACTCAAGGCTTTGTTTTATGTCAGATTCTCCAAAGGATGATGATATTACAAAAGACAATGAAGTAACAGATCATTCCGTATGTGACCACGATCCTTCCAATGGTAAGTTTTCTGTTTCTTTCTCAGACTTTAAATTATTGAGGAGTATTACATTTAAGGGAAAAAAATTTTTTCTTGGAAAATGTAGAATCTGATGATAATTCACAAGAGCTTAATTCCATCTGATTGGCAGTTGTCATGTTTAAAAGGGACATTTTGCTCTTCACGATCCTTACCACTTACTACTTTTGTACGAACCTACTTTGCTTACTTTTGTTACTTACTGAACCATATAGGCACTGGATTTGCAATACTGAAATAAAGATATGATAGCAATGAAAATAGGTGAGGGACATACAGAGAATAGATCCAAGCAGTTATATCTACCTATTCTCAGAATGCCATGAAGAAAAAGTAGGGCAAACAGAAATAAAGTAATCTTTAGGTAAAAAATTTTCATAATACAAACTATTTCTCCATCTAAAACATCACAGTGCACATTATATTTACAGGCAAAAATAATGAAAATTCAAATGAGAATAGAAATACACAAAGCCTCAGAATTTTTGAAGTTCAGTGATACTGGAAGTGTTTTTAAAGTCTGTAGAAAAGTCATGTCAGGTTACTGGAAAAGTTACCAAAATCAGATTAGCCTTGGCCTTCTTCTATGACTCTAAATACCAGGAGAAAACAAAGTAATAAATCCAGAGCTCTAAAGGACACAGATTCTACACTTAGTGGAGTTATTATTCATGCATGAATTCAAGAGTAGTATTTTCTCAGGAATACAGAAATTAAGGAAATATGCTACTCAAATATCATGTCAAAGTAAACTAATAGACACCTTGTATAAAACAATAAATAAAAAAAGGAAGGGAAAATTCAAGATTGAGAAAGACACAGTAAGAAAGGACTATGTGATAATAAACTTATCAAACACATGCCAAATATTGAACTAATCATTTCAAAATTAGTTTCAAGTTCTCTTAGATGTTTTATCTTTGAAAATTATAGCACAATTTTTAAAATGAGAAAGGAAATGAAGCACTTCTGCTCTCAATGATAGTCTAAATAATCGAGAACATTACTTTCAGTGATGACAACTAGACAACTTAGACAAAATTTTTGCAGTCTGTTGAGCGATATCAGAGAGCTAACTTAGTGAAAACCTGTCAGGTTAGGACTGGGAAAAGCAAATACTTAAAGATATTATCCCAATATTTACAAATGTTTTCACTATAGGACATCTGCTTATTCTGCAAAAGATATCTGGAGTCCTAAGGCAAGGGACAAGAGATGCTGGTAAACCCTCTGGGTTTTGTGTTGAAACCCCAAAAGTATATACCCTATCAGCAGAATGAAATAGCAGTACTTTAGCCTTCTGAAAGACTGTGGCTAAACCTTAATGATTTTATTTCCCAAATTAAATAACCAACCAACCAAAGAACTAATAACCCCCAGCATCTGAGAAAAACTAATGTAAAATATTTACAAGATTAAAAATCCTTAGCAAAATCTTAGCAAGGCAAATTTAACAATACATTGAAAGGAATATACATCATAACCAAGAAGGATTTATTTCAGGGATACCAGGGTAGTTCAATATGTGCAAATCAATTAATGTAATACATTGCATCAACAAAAGGAAAGATAAAAATCATATGATCATATTCATAGATGTACAGAGAACATTTAATAAGATTCAACACCCTTTTATGATAAAATCTCTCAATAAAATGGAATATAACTCAACAAAATTAAGGCCATATATGACAGACCCAGGGCAGGCATAAAGTTCAACAGTGAAAACTAAAAACCTCATCTAAGCTCAGGTACAAGACAGAGACGTTCACTCTGGCCACTGCTATTCAGCTGAGTATTGTAAATCATGGCTAGAGCAATTAGGTAAGAAAAGGTATAATTCAAAATGGAAAAGAGGTAAAATTATCCCTCTTTGCAGGTAGCATGATATAGAAGCCCTAAAGACAGCACATGTATGTCTTGTCTCTCTGCGTGTTCAATGAGCATTGGTCACGGATGCCTTTGTTTTGACCAGTCTTTTCAAGGGCTTTTGTATAGTGAACAATCTTGAGAAAATAGAAACCATATCTCCCTCTGAAATTAAAAGCAGTCTCATTTTACAGCATGGAAGATAGGAATAGTCCCATCCTCAAGGTGGAAGAGGGAAGCATGCTTAAGGTAAATTGTAAAAGATTTGGTTCCCTAGGCTCAAGAGTCCTCTGTAATGTAGATTACAGTGCATCCTGTACAGAGGTGCAGTGTGAGAACTGGGGCATGGGGAACAGGCATCCTTCTGTGACTACTGCTGTTTGTTGCACTGTTCGCAATGCTGAGCCAAGAGAGGACTGTCTCCTGTCAGCATCCATGGAACTGTGGCTAACTAACTTGCTAATTTAAGAATGGTAAAGTCCCAGATCCTAATTGATGCTGTAGAGATGAGAAAAGAGTGTCTGAGATGAAAATTCTAGTTGATGAGAGTAATGGCAGATTAGACAATATGGAAGAAAGATTAGAGAATTTAAAACTATAGCATTACAAAGGACCCAAATTGAAACAGAATAAATGAGTGAAGAAAATGAAAAGAACATCAGTGCGATATGGAATAACTGGACAGGTGACCCCAGCTCGATATTCATGAGTTGGACTCTCTCACAGTGGTTATGGGAGGAGGATACAGAAAGAATATTTGAAGTAAAAATGGCTGACATTTTTCAGGTATTTGGTGAAAACTATGAACTTGCATATATAAGGTGTTCTATAAACCCAAATGCAATGAAATATGAACAAAATTAATAAGTAATCATAATCAACACCAGCAGTGATGAGAAAAATCCAAAGAGTAATCAAAAAGGGCAAATTATATAGAAATAACAAATGTATGCAAGAGAAACCTCCTTGGAGGCTAGAACCAGGATGAAACTCATAATCATTACATAAAATTAAAACTACAAAATCAAATACATGTATTTGTATGCATTTATATGTACGTATACGTCATAGATGATTTCATTTATATCACTTTTTAAAAGCAGAAGAAATAACCAATATTTAAAAAGACATGACTATGTGGTAGAAAAGAAAAATCTCTGTAATGATTATTATGATAGGATGGTTAAATTTGGTGGCTTGAGAATGATGTACTTTTGTGCTAGATACATAGTTTAAGAATACAGAGCTACACCTCAGACACATTGTAGGTTCAGTTCCAAACCACTGCAATAAAATTAATATCACAGTAATATGAGGCATACACTTTTGTTGGTTTCCCAGTGCATATAAATTTATGTTTACATAATACCATAATCCTCTTAGTGCACAATACCACTATGTCTGAAAAACATTGTAGTACCTTAATTTAAAAATACTCAATTGCTGGGGGGAAAAAGCTCCCCATCAACTGAACCATCAGTTGTAGCCTTTTAGCTGGTAGGAGAGTCTTGCTTCCATGATGATAGATGCCGACTGATGCTGGTGGTGTTTGTGAAGGCTGAGGCAGCTGTGGCAATTTCTTAAAATAAGATAATTAGGTTTGACACATTGACACTTCCTTTCCTGCAAAATTTCTCAGTAGCATGTGATTCTGTTTGATGGCATCTTACCCACACTAGAAATCATTTCAAAATTGAAGTCAATCCTTTCAAACCATGGCCACTGCTTTATTTACTAGTTTTATACAAACTTCAAACCCTTTTCTTTTTTTGTCAGTTTCACTATGGTCATTTCATCTTCATCAGTAGATTCCATAAGAAGTAACTCCCCATCATCAAAATTTTTTCATGAGATTGCAATTCATAACTTCAGCCTTGACTCCTTATTCTAGTTCTCTATTTCCATCATATCTTTAATTACATCCTCTTCTGAAGAATTATACCCTAAAGATCATCCATGATTCTTAGAATCAATTAATCAAACTCTGTTGATTTGATTTCTTCCCATGAATTACAAATGTTAACGATAGTATTTAGTGAATTCTTTTTACTGAATATTTAGGTGAATTCTTTCCGTTGGGTTTCTGTTTGACTTTCCACAGGAACATATTTCTTTAAAAATTAGACTTGTAAGTCAAAATGACTCCTTGAGCCATGGGCTGCAGCTTAGATTTGTATTAGCAGGCAGAAAAATAACTGATTTTTCTTGTACCTTGCCATAAGAGCTCTCGGGGAACCAAGTGCAGTATTGAGTAGTGATATACCTTTTCCCTGAGCAGTAACTCTCAATATTAGGTTTTAAAATGTTCAGTAAACTATGGTGTAAACAGATGTGCTGTCACTTAGGCTTTGCCATTCAGGTATAAGCCATAGGAAGAGTAGAATTAGCATAATCCCTAAGAATCCTAGGGTTTTTCTAAATGTTAAATGAACATTTATGTGTTTGAACTTAAAAATTGCCAACTGTATTTGGCCCTGACAAGAGTCATCCTGTCACTTGAAGCTTTGACGTCAAGCGTTGACTTCTCTCTAGCTATGAAAATCCCAGATGGCATCTTCTCTAACAGGTCATTTTGGGTAGAATGTAAAATCTATTGCTGAGTGTAATCTTAACTAGACCCTCTGAATACCCTCTTGAATAACATGGAAGCTTCACTTCTACATTAGCAGTTGATTTTTTTTTTTTAACCTTGTCTCTTATGTTGTAGAAATTGGTTCTTTCCTTAAGTCTCACTGACAAATCTCTGTTGACTTCAAGCTTTTCTTCTGCAGCTTCTTTACCTCTCAGTTTTCACAGAATTGAAGGGAGTTAGGATAGAATTAAAGTGAACTGGAATCTCTGAAGGCAGGCATGGGTTTGGGATTAAGCTTTGGTTTAAGGGGATCCTGTGGCGATTTCCATCTTCTATCCAGACCACTACTATTTTCTTCCCATCCACAACAAGGCTATTTAACTTTCTATTCATGTATTCATTAGAGAAGCAGTTTTAATTTCCTTCCAGGACTTTTCCTTTGCATTCACAACTTGGCTAACTACTTTTGGGGGCAAAAAAACCCCCAAAAACATAGCTTCTGGCTTTCTTTTGACATGCCATCCTCACTAAACTTAATCAT